CCGTGTGTCTGTCCTACTAATGGGGATCCTGGCGCGGCTCTGGAGCCCCAAACCTGCGCTGCCAGCTCAGCCGCCCCACATCCCCGCTCTGCTCCTCTCTGCTTTCACCACGGCTCCCCTCCACGCCCCACACCAGCAGCCCCCACCCCACAGAGCCCCCCTAGATTTGGGGGAGGAGGGTGGGATCCCGAGAGATCCTATGGGGACCTGGAGGTTGGGGTCCACCAATGCCCCAGAGATCCTATAGGGTGCTATAGGGGCTGCTCAGTACCCCAGAGATCCTATAGGGTGCTATAGGGGCTGCTCAGTGCCCCAGAGATCCTATAGGGTGCTATAGGGGCTGCTCAGTACCCCAGAGATCCTATAGGGTGCTGTAGGGGCTGCTCAGTGCCCCAGAGATCCTATAGGGTGCTGTAGGGGCTGCTCAGTGCCCCAGAGATCCTATGGGCTGCAGGCACAGCGAGCAGCTGTTGGCTGCTGTGGGGCTGCTGTTGGCGTTGGGTTCTGTTGGCTGGCGGCGCGGTGTGGGGCTGTGGGTGAGGCTTCTTGCGGTCTGGGGGCTTCTGGGGGTCCCTGCCCTCCTGCCCACGCTGCCCTTGGGATCCACCGCTTCTTCCTGGAGGGATTGGGATCCACAACTCCTCCACCGGGTGCTGGGATCCATGAGCTTGCGCTGGCGGTGGGGCTGTGGGTGCGGTGGGGGGCTGGGGGCTGAGGCGGCCCCATAACGGCCCCATAACGGCCCCGTGGCCGCAGGTGATCCGCAGGGGCTGGCTGACCATCAACAACATCAGCATCATGAAGGGCGGCTCCAAGGAGTACTGGTTCGTGCTGACGGCCGAGTCGCTCTCCTGGTACAAGGATGAGGAGGTGAGCGGGGTCCCCAGCCCCCCTTGGGAGCCCTTTGGGATCCTTTTGGGATCCTCTTTGGGGGGCCTCTTTAGGAGATCCCCCTTGGGCCCCTTTGGGATCCTTCGGGACGCCCTGCGACTCCTCTGGACTCCATTTGGGACCCCTTTGGGTTTTCCCTGGAGCGAATCCCCCTTTGGGATCCCTCTTGAACCCCTTCAGGAATCCATTTGGGGCCCTTCGGAGGGGATCCTTTTAGAAACCGCTGTTGGGATCCCTGCTGATCCCATTGTGGGGCCTCCCTGGGATCACTGGGAGCCCATTTGAGGGACCCCGTTAGGGACCCCCGCTTCATCCCCATTAAACCCTTCAGGACCTCGGGATTCCGTTCGTTCCCCATTGGCAGGGATCCCTTTAGGAACCTTTCGGGATCCCCCTGGGATCCTTTTGGAGCCCCTCTGGGGGATCCCTTTGTGACCCCGCTCACCGGCCCCCCCCCCCCAGGAGAAGGAGAAGAAGTACATGCTGCCCTTGGACAACCTCAAGATCCGCGACGTGGAGAAGGGCTTCATGTCCAACAAGCACGTCTTCGCCATCTTCAACACGGAGCAGCGGTGCGTGGGGGTCCCTGCTGCGTCCTGGGGGTCCCTGCCTCATCCCAGGGGGTCCCTGCTGTGCCCTGAGGGTTCCCCCCTTTTGGGTTCCCCACTCCCAGTGGGAGCTCTGTGCTTTCAGACACTGCCACGTTTTGGGGGGGGGTCTTTGGCTCCTGAGATGGCAGCGTCCAGCCTTGCTTTCCTTCCACCAAACCAGGCCTTCCTCCCCCTTTGTGGGGTTCCCTTGCCCCCTATGGGGTTCCTTCCCCCATCGCAGCCTTCCCTCCCCCACCATGGGTTCCCCTGCTCTCTGTGGGGCGCCCCCCCCATTTTGGGGTCCCCACCCTGACCCCTCGCCTCCCCCCCCCCAGGAACGTGTACAAGGACCTGCGGCAGATTGAGCTGGCCTGCGACTCGCAGGAGGACGTGGACAGCTGGAAGGCGTCGTTCCTGCGGGCCGGGGTCTACCCTGAGAAGGACCAGGTGAGCCCCCAGCTCAGACCCCCCAACTCAGACCCCCCCCCCC